TCTAATCGCTCTTTTTGTTTTTTGTATGTGTAAAATCTTACAAACCTTAAAAAAATATTAATATTAAACAAAATGTTATTTGTTGTGACATATAAAAAGCATCTAGAAAATATTTCGTTCTCTTCGCGAGAATTTTAATTATTTGTTTTTCAATTTGTCTTTAGATCAGGGCCGCGCCGCTGATAAGGCGTTTTTGTGCAAAGGAAATTTTACGGCTTTTAAAAATATTTTTATTTATCAATTTTTTAAATAAACTTCCTAAATATATATATATAATATTTTTAATATTTTTAGGAATGGCATAGAGTTTTTCATTTTTGTATACTAGGATATTATAACTTTTTCCTAAGGCAGAAGTGCAAATGTTTATCACTGAAATTAATACAAGAGCAATATTTCACTATTTACGTTTTCGCGTTATGAAAAATATTATATAATCGATATCCTGGTTAAAATGGTATAATATAGCTCTGTATTTGTATGTATAAAAAAATTTTATATTAGCGTAGAAAAATATAAATAACTACTCTCTCTCAGTATCTGATTTAGATTTTACGACATGTTTTTTTTTATTAATGTACCTACAGCTTTTTTATTAATATACATTTCGGAAAGAATTAAACCTGACAAAAGCGGACACATGCAATTGATTAGAAATTATTATAAAAATGAAAAATCGATTTCTAAAATTTAATTTGTCGTAATTTGAATCTTTGCTTGTGGCAGCCCTGGTTTCGGTATCTCAAGATTCTCAAGCGCGCGCAATCCTCAACAAGCGGCGATTGCGCGCGCATATTTGGTCGCCATGACACTTGGCAATGTGACGATTTCGGACATGAAGAGCGTGTAGTTTCATGATTAATTGTTGATTTTGCTCGTTTAAGGTGCGTGATGAGTGCGTATTTTGATCGCGAACGTCGTTCGAGATAACAGGGGATTACTAGAATGTTCGGTTACTGCGTATGTTCACGATCGACACAGCCGACCATAATCGACACAGCCGAAAAGCGATGCGTCGTAGGTTCAAATTGCCGCGCGCCGCGTCGCCGATTTCGGTAAGTATAGATTTTGATATTGTAAATCACGCAAAAATAACCGTGTATTTTCCGAGAGACTCGAAAACTGGCAAATCTTCCATTAAATGTGATATGTCCATAATTTGGTTCGTTGTATTTATTAGGATTGTCAGCAGTACTTTTTTAAGAGTGCTCTTTTAGAGGGAATCTCTCTCTTTTATTTTGAAGAGTGAAGTATTACTCTTACAATTAGGCTTATATACATACATTCAAAACGTGATATTCAAAAAATTTTATTCGATATCATAAAATTAACCTATTACGTTTTCTGCTCTCAGATCATGATGATTAAAAAAATATATTCTTACTTTCTCTCTATCGCTCTCTCTCTCTCTCTTTTGTTTTGTGATTTAGATATGACAACCTTAGTCATATATTATGTCGCATGCATTGTGTTTATAATTAATGGAAAATTCGTTATAATTTGTTGGGAGTGAGATGGGATAAGAATATATTGTAGTGCAATTATACACAGCTTTTTATGGAATATATGTAAGGATCTCGATTTAAGGTAAAAAATCCTTTTTTAGGAAATATATATATATATATATATATATATATCTGTATTTATGTTTTGCATTATTAATGTAAAATATTTTAAAGTTAATAAGATTTGAGTTAATGGGTTAATTAAAAAATATAATTTTTAAATAAAATAAATTATTAAAATTAATATTTTTTTCTATATAAACATTTGGTTTAACATTTTATTTTGCTTATTAATATACATATATAGACGTAATAAATTGAAAAGATACTTATAAATCTTTATATAAAATAAAATTGTAAAAATATTAATGAAAAACGTAAGTTTTGTTTGGAGCAATCGAATCGATGAACATTAATTAGCTAATGTTTATTCGAATTAAATTAAATGGAAGATAGATATAATGAAAATAATAATTTCTATCAATTTTTTGTAATAAAATATATTCTATTTCTTATTAGCGGTTATTAAATTTTCTTATTTCTACTTTAATTTAAGAACCTAATAATTTAATATTATACTATATGACATAAAAATATACAAATCTATTTATGTGCACTGTTTTTATATGCATATATATAATAGAAGTGAAAGGAAGGAGACATGACTCGGGAGGACTCCTTTTCATATTTTATTTAGAAAGACAATAATAAAGTGTACAAATAATATAAAATTTGGAAATAAAACATTTCGGTGCAAACTATATCGAAGGGCAATCGATTGTACGTTCTTGAATACGTCACGAATTACTATTGACAATACTTAAAAAAGTTTATGTACCTAAGAAATATTCACCAACAAGCTTGCTGACAACCTAAATATACATATGATGGTCTCACGATCAATCTCTACATAACTGTAATAAATTATGTTAATATTAATGGTATATCTTCGAGTTATAGACATTGACTTAGATCTGATTTATGCTCGGTGTAATTCAAGGATCAGAAATATTAATCCTAGAGAGCAGACAGAGGTATAAAATAATAAGTAAATACCAGAGATATGTATGCAAGTTATTAAACATATTTCGTAAAAAAACTTTGGTAAACGTTACTCATTCACATGTGTGCATTTAGGCTTGATGATTACATAGTATGTCTTAAATTAATCGTGTTGTATACAGAAGTGTATAGAATTTAAAAATATATTGTAATGCTGCGCTTTGAACGTGATAATATTGAAGCTGTTAATTAAAAATAAATTAATTAAAAAGAAATAGGCAAGTACAGTAAGGAATCAATGTAGTTAAAGATACGAGTTAGCTTAATTTGTTAGTCTTTTCTTAATAATTAATTTCTAGTTTCTTTAAATTTTTGAGAATTTTTACGAAAATCTCAATGACAATTCTTCAAAGACTATTCTTCAAATTTAAAACAACCGACTATTCTCAAGGCGCGATTAATGTATGATATGATTCAAAGTAAGTTCTTCCTCAGTGACTCGCAAGATACACGGAGCATAAATCTTCGACAGTGAGCTGAGTGACTCGTCGTCTGAAACTCCTTAATCGATGTGTCTCTTATGTCTAACATACACACTCAATATGTATCAGCTAAAATGTAAATGCAACTTGATCGCGGATACGAACTTCATTTAGGTTTATTTAGGGCAGTGTTAAGTATTTACTTCCCTAAATGATATAGCCCGCGTTTGCAGCGCACTTACAATATTTCGATATTTGTAGTGGCGAACGTAACTATTTCGATTTCAACCGCTTGAAGATTTATATAAATACGCCTGCTATTTTACATTAGATTATTAGAAATAAGAAAAGTAATTGAGATCTGAATTTCAAAAGATGTAATACAAAGATACAAGTTTCTTTTTATGTGGAGGAGTTTATAAAAACACATCTGAAATTTAAAATATGGTCTACGCGTTGTACTTATTTATTATAATCATTTTTAAGAAGTATATGATTAAAATAATGTATATCACTCCTTTACTTAAAAAATGATATGACTTAAAAGAATGTGATTTTCAAGTCATTAAACGGATTAAATTAAGTAAATATTACTTTATCAATCATCAAAAGTGATGAAGTAATGTTTATTTAATTAACTTTATAAAAAATTGTTAAAATAAATAAATTAAGTTAAATTAAATTAATTTAATTAAATATATATCTAATATTAATATATAATATATATTAAATATATGTTTAATATATTAATTATTTAACAACATATTCAATAAAATAAAATAAATTAAATTATTATAAATCAAATTGTTAAATTAATTTTATTAAAAAATTGTTGAAATCGTCATGACTCGAAATTGGTGGTGGTAAAAGAGAATTCATCAAAATTGTTGCAATTTAAAAAGAGTGATTTTTAAAGAATTATTAAAATGACAATATGACATTTGATCATATCATTAAAAATAGTTTTGCTGATATTATTTGATCAACGATTTCATGTCAAGTTGGAAAATAGTTTTTCCTCTTTTCTAGGAAACGTAATTTTTTGAGTTATGAAACTCACTTTTGAAGTAAGGGAGTGATATGTATTTTATATATATATATCTTGAGAAATGTGTGAACTTTCCAATACAAGTTACATTACAAAAACGAAAATTTAAAGATGAATAGTAAAAAATAAAAAAATGGTTAAATTTTAGATTTCTTCTGTGTTTTCTGAAAATTTTTATTTTAAAATTACTACGATTTTATATTCAGGTCTTCAATTTTTACGATGACACGCTATTGACAAGGATTTAGTTACAAAAATCGTTCGCCTGCATTTTCTGGCTTTTGAATAATTCAAGAGTAGGCTGAGCAGACATCTAATACATAATACTTGTTGAGAAGAAAGGATAAAACTAGGCAGCCGCTTTTAGCATTTAAAGTGCGCTATAAACACGGGCCTGAGCGAGTCTTGCACACGTTGTCTGGGTTCGCGTCGCTCGTTTGGCGATCCGTAAATATTTTTGGACGTTTATCGTGATGAGGGGAAACGTTTAACGAATGTTGAATCGCGATAGAGCTTTCTTGAAAGATCTCGAGCGATCGCAGCTTTCGCAAGCGACTGATAAAAGGGGAAGTACCCGATGCGAATACGCAATACGACGAAACACTGACGAGTATTTAGACGATCAGTCTTCTTTTTATCTTTAAGAAAGATCGAGAGAAGAGAAAACTCAAACGCGACTGAAGCGGATGGTTAGGTGGTTTTCGCTCGTGGCGAAAGTACAATAATTATACCTTTGGAATCAGAGACAGTTTCGTGATCTCGGGAACGCGAAAGATGAAACGTGACGCGCTGTTCGCGATGGTTCGCACACGCTATGACTTCACGATATGTATATCGATATGAATTATTACTCGAACGTGGGATTTTCTTATATATATATATATATATATATTATTATATATGTCGCGCGAAGAAACGCAGTACGCGCGCATCTGCATTCTATTTACATAACGATTCGATTTTCGCGTCGCGAAAGGATGGTCGAAGGTGCGAAGTATTCAGTATTGCATAAATTCCTCCAAGTATTCCATATAATCGTTCTCCGACATCTCGACGTCGTCGTCTAGCCGATTGTCGGCATCTCGTCGTCTCCTCACCAACTCGCTCGTCACCTCAATGCAGAGCAGCGCGAATTTATTGTCGCACGAGTATCGTACTTGTTCTAACAGTCGACCGCCGGTCAACGGCGAGCCTAGTCCATAACGATCCGAACTGCTCGAGTGCCAGGCGTCGCAATAAGTGTCCATGGCTCGATCACCGAGTTTGTGAGAGCCATGCCACGCAACTTTCTCGGGCCTGTAATTAGAATAACGTTCATTTCATGATATGAAGAAAATAGCACGTAAATATATCACACATACGTGTACAATTTATATAATATATTTGAGGGTGTGGTTATACATATATTATATTGATTTTCTTTTATACAATAAAATCAATATTATATTTTCTTTCATATATGTATATACTTTTTCTATACTAACCATGCGAAGTCAGTGAGAATATTCTTTCCATTGAAGCTGTAGATTCTGGGATTCTGAGAGAAATATGCCCCATTTCCATTGAACATCTCTTTCCAAGAGTTGAATAGCACGTCGCCCTACATTTCATCCGATTATTACACAAAATTATTCAATTTTTAACAATAATTATCGTAGTAATAAATAGATATTATTCCAAATTACCTTTATGTTAACTATAGGAAGATCTCGATCTCCTAATCTGACAATACTATCGACATTTTGAACTCGAGAACTGAGGAAAGCGCGGAAGGTACCTCTCAAGCCTGCTCGCCTTGCTTGTCGATAACAAGCGTAGTCTGCTCCTCGTATACCATGCATATCTCCGGTAAACGGCTCATTCAACGCAGCCATTCTCAACTAAAAAACATAATTTGCATTGAATAAATATTTTTATTCATAATAATAGCACGCTCATTTTTATATTTTTAAGATAAATTTACGAAAAATTTCAATTGAAATTATATTTTTTTTATTTATACACAGCAATTTAAAAAAAATGCAAAATATATCGCAAATAAATGAACGGAAAAAGTTGTAATTAAATATGGTAAAATCTCACCATTCGCGGATACCACTGCGTAGCATGGAAAAAAATTGCAAATTCGATATTAACACGTTTAATTTTTATAAACGTGCGTTTCCTGAAATGAATTTAAGTTATTAACTTACTCCTGTTCCGTCGGCTTTCACGGGTATTTGGTTAATTAAGTTGGATGCTTCAAAAGGAGGGTTTGCTGGCGGTGGTGATGTCGTTGGTGGTGCTGGCGTTGTAATAGGCAAAAGTGATCCGAGCTAAGGAAGATTAAAAGAAGAGTTTGGTTTTAATACAATTATAATACAATTTAATACAATTATTCTGTGAACTTATAATAGTGATCTAATTCTTTAATACTGACTGCAATGTATTGCCATCCATTATTAACTCTGACTAGTAAAGCTTGTTCGTCTATGATATAAGCCAAAGTCCCAACTGGACTAACACTAGACATCTGTAAACGTAAAACGAGAGTATTAAAATTAGATTTAAGCCCATTCTACAATTGCGTAAGCGTAGTTGTAAATGCGGTTGTAGTTGTACGAATTAACCAATCACAGTCAAATACGAAAAAATGTTCGACTGCGATTAGTCAATTCTTACAACTACAGCCACTTACAACTACGTTTACGCGATTGTAGAATGGGTTTTACGCAATTGCTTTAAAGAAACAGTTATTGATTGTAGGGAATTTTACTTTTGTCATAGCTTCTGTGTTTTGGAACGTAACAGCTCCTGGCACAATTTTCGTTGTACTTTCTAAAGGTCCCCTTGTAGCGGCAGTAACAACACCTTGAAAACAATTTTTCAAGTTTAAAAATGTAAGAATACCGATGTTAACATGCAGTCAATGAAATATATTTTATAAAGCATTCGAAGGAATAACGATTTTGGTGCATATTTGTTTTGATGTTATACCAGATAGTAGATTTTACCTAATTGCTCTTTCAGTTCTTTCAGTTGCTTGAGTTCACGTAGAGCTTTCAATTCGTCTAGACTACTTCTGGCTCCTTGCGGGTATGCGAATATGAAATTTAACTTTGTTATTAATAGGCATAAAGAGCACGCTCAATAAAATGGGGATTTGTTTTAAGGCACTTTGAATAATTTACTAAAAAATTATTAATTAAACTAATTAACTAATTGTTAATTTGTAACATTATTAAATGTTGAATTAATATAATGATATCGGAGAAAATTAAATTAAATTAAAATTAAATTTATTGTTAATATAATAATTTACATTTTGAACTAAAATAATTTAAATAAATAATGTTTGTGACTCCAACAATAAATTTCGTGCAAATAAAATGCCATGTGTAAACAACTTCGCGATCTCTACGGTTGCGTACATTAGATATATTTGTAAGGCGATAAGGTACAATTTACAAACAATTGTAATGTATTTATCAAATGAAGTTAACTTGCAAACTACAAAGTTTGTACTCGACGTCTCCAATTATCGCACTGCACAAATCTAGAATCGAAACGTCTGCAGTTAACTTTATTTGATAAGAACATTCCAACTGTTCGCAAATTATCTTATCGTCTTATGAATAATTTATGCATTAACAACAGCGAAAGCTTACATAATCATATTTTTAATTTTGTTATCGAAGTGCTCTGTCACTCAAGTACCATCAAACTATAATAACTGTCGACTTCATAATATCTTAATGTCTTTACCTTGCCTAGAGGGGTAGTAATCTCTTTCGCCGAAAACGTGACTTCTACCGATCCCGGGTTCTCCTTTCTGTCCGATTAAAGACAAGCCAGGTGGACCAGGAGGTCCGGGAGGACCCGGAGGTCCTGGAACTGGATAATAGTTTCCTTTAGATGGTATTCCAGGAGATCCGGGAGGTCCTGGAGGTCCTCTTTGGCCCTCTCTTCCCGGCTGTCCAGGAATTCCGGGAAAACCGTCATCTCCTTTGTCGCCTTTGATCTAAAAATGTATTAAAGAACCATATTTAATGTGTGAACAGAACGTCACGATATCGTAGAAGTCCGTCAATATAATCCAAAAACTGCGATTATCAACGTTCTTTCTTCGTTGCATCGCATCGCTTCGGTATAGACGACGGTAGACAGGCAGACAGATTTGCAGAGAGTCAATAAGTAGTAAAGTATTACCAAGAACATAGGAGCGGTTGATTTATCGGAAACGTCGAGGAATGAGATGCAATGATCGCTTAGGCACATCACGTCGGCTTTCTATCGACGTTTCTTCGTTGCGTTCTTTTTCACGAATGTACAACGAAGACGGTTTACGTGCTAGGCGCGAGAGGCATCCTTTCGATCGTGGGAAGGCGATATCGGAATTTCCTGTTGCTCTTGACTGTAATCGCTCTTTCTCGAGAAATAATCTATCCTTGTCGTTATCAATGTTGTATCATGCCCTTAGAAAAATGATGGATATCTTGAGCGATTTTTATCTATGTACTTTGTATTTTTATGGAATTTCTGTCGAAGAGATTTCTTTTTATTGCATTCACTAGATCTCTCCAATCTCTTAGATGATAGCCGTAAGAAATTCTGATAGGATGTCCCAGATGTATCAAAAAAGATTTTAGAAATTGTTCAACGATTTTCTTGTCGAATTTCTTTCGACAAGAGATCTTAACAGGAATCCAACCAATCAACAGGAGAATAATCAAAATAAAGTTAAAATTAATTAGAAAACAAAGTTACATTCATAAGGATGTGTGTATAGTTTCTGCAAAGAGGAACTAGAATTGATTTCCATATAAATAAATGTTGTGTGTGTGTGTGTGTGAGTGTATATACATGAAACAATTCAATAAGGTTTATATTTAACAATACAACTTTATAATTTAAATAAAACTTTCTCATTTTATCATAATTACTTTATTATAAAAAATGTATTTATTTCTTATTGAAATTTTAATTTTTGATCTATTCTAGAGAGGTTCTAATTCGCTGTCAAACTTTTTGTCCTAATTTCAAATACAATATAGAAAAATCTGTAATTTTTAAATAATTTTTCATTAAAAAAAATATGTGTAATACGTCTTTAAATCTTAATCCATAAAAAGTTCTTATTTTTATGATAGGATATTCTTAAAAATTTTAATCAGGGAAAAATTAATTTATCGAATAAAAAATCAACTTTCTAAAATATTTTGTTTTTATACATATATGTATAAATTATATAGGTTTTTGTAACACTTTTTCCCATGCAGCATAATTGCAAGTCTGCTTTACATATTTTCTAGATGTTGTAATATTTAAAAGGATTGTTATTCGGATACGTCTGGTTGTGAATACGTTATACACATATACATCCTCACAGAAAAGCGAAGCGCTATCGCGCGTATCAGCATGCGTTATTTGTCAGTTGTCAGCCATGACAGCTCGCGAAACTCTGTTCGCCGCGGTGGAGAAAATTTCTGTTCGGCGCAACGAATAAATCCAGCGACGAAGACGCGAAAAAAAGGGAGCATGCCAGGCGCACTCTTGCATTAATTTCCATCACTCGCGTTGCGCCGCCCGTTGTTCAAAGACTTCCGCATCGTCCTATTCACAAGGATATATATGCCCCGCCACTTTAATCTGCCAGACCGAAATTGCGCGAGGTGAAAACCATTATTTTTATTTCCGTTTCTTCTCCGTCCTCATCCCTCCCTTTTCTCCCTTTGAAAGGCAACATTTCTTGCTCTCGCGGACGATCGACTGACGAGGTTACTCACATCTCACTCGCGTGAGATTCCACTTCAAAGGGAAGGGTTGACTTCTTAATTTTTGCCTTTTGGTAGGCGCTTGGATTTATATGTAAAGTTTAGAGCGCGCGAGAGAAGTTTACATAGGCGATACCACGACAAGAAACTGGAAGTTATACTTACACCGACAGAAACACCGTAAGGACTCGGTGCGCCAGGTTCCCCTTTTTCTCCCTTGGGTCCCATTGGTCCGATACTTCCCGGAATTCCAGGAGTTCCAGGACGACCCTGCGGAAGACAGTGACAGATGAATTGCTCGTTTGCGTTTTAATTAGCGCAAGGGATTTGGTTGCTGTGACATGTAGTGATAGAATTTTGATACGTGTTTAAATGTTTAATAAATGTTTCTTTTCGTAACTGCGACATCTAAAAATTTGCCTTAATCCTATAGGAAGGTGCAAGAAAACATTCGTGTAATTATATCTACTTCAGGAATTAAAAGATGTTGTATTTAGCGCTTGTACAAAATTTATGTTGTTTCGTGCGGTTTAATTAAAAGCTCACCTTCATCGAGTTCTTTGGTTGGCATTGTGAAAAAGATAAAAAATAGCGTTGTTTAGAAACTAGATATCTCAAGATAACGCTATTACAGAATATTTATCCGACATATAATATGTCATTGTTAATATTGAATACTAAGGTAGTATTAATAATTATACTATAATAATTATGTTCTCTACAAATAATATAAAATACTATCAATAATACATTATTATTTTATTATTATTATTATTAGTACTATTATTATCTATTATTTAGTATTATTTCACATTATTACTATTATTCTATTCATATCTATTAATTTCGTTAATTATTTGATTAATGTTGTAACGTAAAGTGAGATAACAAATCAAAGTACGAAACGTACCATCCATCCTGGTAGACCGATTTCTCCCGTATTTCCTGGCTTTCCGGGAGGACCCACGGGACCAGGCGGTCCAGGTCGTCCTCTTCTACCCCGTTTTCCTTCAGCGCCTTTCTCACCTTTGATGGTGATATAGTCTCCGGAATTGGCGACGGTAGTGGCTCCAGGAGGACCTCTCTCACCTCTTTCGCCTTTAGCGCCAGGTATGCCGGGTAATCCTGATACTCCGTCTTTACCAGGTTCGCCTTTATCTCCTTGAGGCCCTTGAATACCGTTTATTCCGGGAATACCAGCTGGTCCGGCGTCACCCTTAGTACCCTTCTCGCCCTTTGTGCCCTTATCACCCTTGTATCCGCGCGCTCCACTGTCGCCCTTATCCCCTTTTGAGCCAAATCCTTAATTAAATAACATTTCAAATATTATATTTTGTTGTTCTTGTTTTGGCGCAATATATATTGAATTTCTTTATCTAAGGAAACATTGTTAATAATTCAAAACCTTTAATCATGTGTAAAAATCATGTGTGATTTTATATAAAATATCCGAGGATATTGAAAGATATTAAATTTTTAGCTTTTTACGATATTTTTCTTTACAAAATATATATATATATATGTGTATCTTCATTTTATTTATTAAAAATAATTATTAATAAAATAATACAGATATAAATAATAAATGATTACGTTTTCATGTGACGCGCATAATTATAATACCATTTATTTAATTTTATTTCTCTTACTTAATTAGATTTATTCCCATCGGTCTAATTTCGAAAATTATAATTATATAATACCATTTACTTAATGTTTTATTAATATCAAACTGTTTTTGTTACGTTGAAGATTAGAACGGTTAATGAAAAACAAATTGGTTAATTTTATTATATAAAAAGTAAGATTACGTAAAAAAAGTCAAACAAGTGATTAAATAATATTGGACTAAATTTGTCATTACTATATCTAAAGAAAAATTTGTGTATTTGTTCACCTAGATCTCCCACGTTTATACCACCGGGACCGCTAACCCCGGGTGGACCGGGTGGTCCTGGAGGTCCTAGTTTTCCTTCAGGTCCTGTATCGCCTTTATCACCTTTTTCCGCCGGTCGCCCGTTTTCTCCAGGTGCGCCGGGTAATCCAGGTGCACCGGGTGCGCCAGGTTCACCTTTGAAACCCTGAATTCCTCTGGGACCATCTTTCCCATGATCGCCCTTGACACCTTTATATCCAGGTTCGCCTTTGACACCTTTGGATCCTGGTATTCCAGCTTCGCCTTTAGGGCCAGGATTTCCTGAAATGCCTGGTTCACCTTTTTGTCCGGGAAGTCCTGGTCTCATTGTGATACCTTCCGGCTAGATAGACAAGTATTTAAATAGGAGATTATTTTATGTAATTGATGAAATTGCACACATATATGAATAGTTTATTGAGATATTATAATTTGGAAAAGGAATTCTAAGTATCGGAGAAGATATTTACGATGCAATTAGAATGCTCCAGTTCGTACTCACTCTGTAAATATTTCGAGGTTTCCAACTGGGCTGCATGCGCATAATAATCGAAATTTCCCCGTTAGATCGTTGGAATAACATTGCGAGACTGAAAGCCTCGCGAGTCGGCCTGACACTGCCGTCTATATACGTTTGCATTGCTATTGATTAGTGGCGAACAATTGTTGCATGAACAATTGTTGATGGTGCATGATTCGCAATTGCTTTAATTTAAATAGAATTGTAAATGTAAATTACATTTTAAATACGGAAGTTCTTTCATTTGCCATATAATTTGGATTCTTTTAAAGATAAAATAAGTTTTTAGGTATAAAAAAATAACTGTAGAGAAGATTTTTTTATTTGCTTAATATATTTCAATTTTATGGATAATATAAAGTTATATAGAGTACATTTATATTTATTGTACAGAGAAAGATATTTATTTATTAGTAATAAATTTAGAGTTGCAAAGTTTGTATATTGAATGTAACACACTTTACGTGTCCAAATGGTTTACTCAAAGTATGGTTTTTAATTTAAACATAAAATGAATATATTAAAAAGTAACATTATGTAAAAATTAATTCACAAATATGTAATATTTTGACACAATTTTTGCAAAAATTTGGAAATAAATTGTGAAAACATATTTTTTCCAACAAAATTAATATTAAATATAATATATTATATATAAATTAGATTCTCATCTCTTTCAGTCATTTATAATACTTGTCTTAAAACTTAAGTTTTGGTACTATATATTATTTTTATGTTATTTATTCACTTATTTATAAATTGTGTTATTTTAACATTAAGAAATATTAAATCAATCTTTTACAAAATATTAATATAACATAATCATCATATATGTTAAATTAATAATCAGATATGTATATATTAAAAATTCAAAAAATTTTAACCAGAACTGGTTTTAACACAAGTATAAGATGTTTTAAATTTTGTATATTTTTTACTATGTTCCAATAATTGCGTACTTATGCTATTTAAAAGTTATGTTATCTAAAAAATTAATTTATTGTATATGTATATTCAATCGAGAAAAAAAAATGAGAAATCAATACTTTGTATTATTTATAGATATTTCACGTTTAAAATAAATTCCGTCTGAGAAAAGATTTATCGTTCTTCCCAGTGAATTATCACGTAATTCATGATATTCAGTACGCAGGTCCTTAAAACGAGCGAAATATGTTGATACAGAAAATATTTGATACTTTGAAGTTCTTCTTTTTAAATTTTTTTTTCTATAGTTCGTATTGTTATAGAGGCGATTATTCTCTGTTAGCATTAATACGGCATTTCGCTGTAAATCATGTCGCTGCGATTTCTGTATATCTATAGATCAATGCCATCGTTCGTTTCATAACTAGTCATATCCATTCAGAGCTTCTCACAAACGGTTTAAAACTTTTAGACTTCTTCGGCTATTGATAAAGCAACGAAATGGATATACTTCTTCTTCATTTCTTATACTCAATTCTATCGGCATAGATATAGTTCTTTCTTTTTATAAAAAAATATAGGAATTATTTACGTATCTATCCTATTTCGCAATAAATAGCTTTGTTATTTGGAAATATATTAACAATAATAACAATATTATTTGGTTCAATTAACGACACGCTTTGTAATTCATTAATATTTCACATTGATATTATGTAAAATATATGCATAGTGTTTGCTATTTGCACATTTATACAATTAATATTTAACGAGTCTTATTCGCAGTAAATTTATTCTCTCTCTCTCTCTCTCTTCAAATCGTAAAATTAGACAACTCGTTCCGTATCTTTCTGTTGAAATTCAATGGCACTTTTATTCACACTGAATTCTTCCTACCGCGTACATATACAGCATGTATCTATAAATCCGCTTCCACTTTAAAGCAGTTCTCTGGCGGTAATACATTGTGGCATGGCCTTAATACAATTTCCGAATTTTCTCTTCTACAAGGTTCTGTTCATTCAAATTCCAGTCTGCGCGATCGCTCGCGCTGGGGAAACATCTGCCGAACCGATCGGCGCGGCGCGGCGGCTTGCACACATGTATGTATGTACACATTGAAACGCGCGAACATCTGAATCGAGTATTATTGGTCCGTCTTCAACGAGCTTCCGGGTCGCAACACCCGCGCATCTCCAAGCCTGCCTTCCTTCCTACCTGGCGTACACCTAGCCGGCACATGCAGTAGGCAGCCTAGAAATTGGTTTCTGTATTCCCCGGGGAAATCGGGCTCTCGCACATTCGAGGAAGGACCGAGGTGCGATGCGGGGTCACGTAAGATAACCGTTGCTGTATGCATGTGCGCACGGGTATCTGTCTTTGCATGAACTGTCTCGACGACAAGATTGGTCTCTGATCCTGCCGTAAAATATTTAGGCCTTGTTCAAATATGTATTCATATTCTAAACTGGTGCATTTGAATTCTACATCTCCACGGTTAGACAAGCAGTGATCAAACTGTTTGTAAATCAAATCGATCGGTTGTTTCTTATTAATGTTATGAAAATAATATAAAGAAAATAAGACACACTCGTTATTTGAAATAAAGACACACTCAGATTCTGATCACTCAACTGTTTCTTGATAAGACAATCTTGAACTATATTGCCTTGTTATCCCCCTCCACTTGATCAAATTTTAATAAATAAATTATATAATAATGCACTATTATATAATTTACTTCAAATTCAAAAAAAAAAATTTTGCGCTTGTTTAACTAAAAAAATTTTAAACTAGATAAACATGATAAAACATTATAGCTATCACAATTATCATTTTTCTTGTAAAATGATACAAATTTTTATTGTCATACCTTGTTTAGTATACAAGTATATTTTCACGAATAATAGTTTGTTATACTTTATGACTGCATTCGGTTTGGATGCTCACATGTTGTATGCATCATAAGTGCTTTTCTATATTCTCTACAATAAAAAACGAAATATTGCTGCCACACTTATTTGTCTCTGTATTTAGACTCTGACTATAGAGATTTTCTAATTTAAAGTGACACAAAAAATATCGATCAAAACTAAAATATTATAAATGTACAATTATTATTCGAGATTAAGTATTTTAGTTAAAAAATACTATATACATATATTATTATATATTCATACAGATAAATCTAGAATCTAATATATTTCTAGTGTCTAGAAAGATTTAATAATTAAGAAAGATTTAATAATTTTGGCTATAATCTGAATAATCTGAGTTCTACTAAAAAATATCGATATTTTAATTTCTAATTATGTGAAAAGTGAAGCAGACGAATCTGACGTCTTTATTAAATAAAAGTCAACTCTATGTTAAGCAACAAATCTATTATTAAAATTTTAATTTATATTATATGTTAATAAAAGTTAGAATATGTCAAATATATGATATGTGATATGATTAAATTTCAATTTCTCATACGTTTTCTTTGAACGAAATATCGTATAAGTATACTCGTATGTTTGGTAAGGAATAAATAAAATACGGCCTTTTTCGAGAGTCGTAAAAGACGGAGGCTCCTGTGTGTTAACTCATCTCTATCATTTCTGATTGTCACAACAGAAAAAATGAGAAAATACACAATAAAGTTCTTGTCATAGTGTATATTAATCTTGAAGTACTCGTGTATATATTAATCTGAAAATTTGTTTTAATATAAAACATATATAATAAATAATCATCTGGAAATAAATTACGTGATCAAATATGAAATAAGCTATATTTATAGTTACGACAAACAAAATTAATAATGTATAGAAATAAATATGATTTAATTTCTCTTCGAAGCAAGAAGATAATTCTCGATATATTTTATAATTCTATTCTATCACGATTGCACGCGCAAGAGAGAAAATAATGTTTTATTAAAAAATATTTCTACTAAAATATAATTTATAAGAAATTTTATTATGTGTTTTCTCGCTTCTAACGTCATAATATGAAATAGTACTGAAATAGCGTACGTATTAGATATGTTTGGAATTATATGCAGAATATGGATTCCGATCGGAAATATTCAATTATTCCCTAAATCTGTATTGTGTTTTCTAGGGAAAATAGAATTAATTTCGAGTGGAATCCATTCTGAATAATTTTATAATACGTATTCATAAGAACATTACATACGAGTAGTGCTTTAGAATAACCAGTCACGGATAACATGTTATAATAATTTTGACATTGTCCCCTTCCTGATAATATTTATTAACGATCCGGTGTTAACAGGTACTAACTATATAACGGCGCAATTCTATTGTATTTCATAGATTGCCCTATATTTAATGGCATGTATGTATATCCAGCGATACATTCTATTGCAGACGTAGTTTGTTTTTCTCGTTTGATTCCTATAAGTAAAACTACAAGCTTATTATTTTGTTACATCGTAAAGTTGCATATCTCTTTTATTGCTTGCATCATGAATATTGCTGTATAGTCACCATGTTAGAATATATTGCACGATAGATAGTATGATCGAATTTGCAAAGTAATCATTTTTCTGTAACATGCTCAATTCTTTAAAGAAAGAATCTATATATACAAGCGTGAGAGAAGTGAGATTCTCGTCATGTATAATATAATTTTGTATTCGAAGAAAAAGTATAATATCTATTATATCTAATACTAAATTATCCATTTCTAAGATTTATAGATCAGAATCGAGTGCAAAATTGTTTTTGGAAAAAGCATCGTACCGATACACATACATCATATATCTGTATCATCTCTCGTTAGATTAATGAAGATTAATAAAATTCGAAATTGCTGTGTAGTATCAAATGGATCGAGTTCGCTCATAGTAAGCGATAAAATTATATTTCCTGATAATATTTATTAATTATTAATATTACATTAATGATATTTATCGGATGATTTATTGTAATGCGTGTGTAAAGTTCAAATATATAAATAATCCTGGATTATTATCTCGAGTAAGATTGCAGCGGCAGAAAGCTCTCAATGTTTTCCGCGCTTTCAGCTCCGAGAGTAACGAGATTTTTCCTCCGTTGCGACGTCTCAACAATTACCAGGCTAGGTCAACTCGGCCTTTTTTTTCCGGCGGTGTAACACTTGGAAGCGTGCCATCGGCATGAAAACAGAAAACCGTATACCGGCACTGCATTCTCTCTCTCTCTTTTTTCCCTTTTTAATTTTTTACATCTTCGTAGAGAGTACGAGAGTATGAGGGTGGGATAAATATTGCGTCACCGCGCCGATCTTTCAGCGATATGCGGGTGCATCCGCGTCACAGGTTTGTGTCGTTGATAAAGCGGAGCGATTCGGTTCGATAGCGCGGCGATGATGCCCTCCGTTCTGCACACTGCTCGCCACTATATTTCTGCGACGACGCGACGTCGTTGCGTTTTCCGCCGCGAAAACCGCGTAACAAGAGAACAAGGTGAAAAACGACTGCATCTCCGGGGGTAAATTGACGGTTTGAGGTGCGACAGGATCGTTACGTTCCTGCGACAGCGTGGAGATTTCTTTTCTCTCCCGTGGCCAGAAACGGATTTCAGGAATTGAACCACTAACGCGCGAGCGCGCGCGCTGACTTTGACAGCGTGGAATATCAATCTTGAGTAGATTTAGCTTGTTTTATGCGTTATTCGAGCGTTTCCAAAGTCGATGTTTGCTTCAAAGAATTATTGCAAGTCGGGAAATCAAAAACATCGAAAAAAATAATCAAATCATTGTAAATGTACAACCAATTGCCTATAAATATTGTGTAAAAAGCACTTTTAATTTGTTCTTTTAAAAAAATACTGGCGACAATAAAAGACAAAGTAAAACTAACAAAATATTGTTATAAAAGTGAATGTTATTTTTATTCATTTGTATTTATATATATATATATATGTATATATTTTTTTATTTTTATTTTTCATTAATAAATATAAAATGCTTGTGCCAATTTTTTAAACCGCTTTATACTTATAGCCAAGGTTGTGTGAGAGAGAGAGACAGAGAAAGAATACTGAAAAAGTAAAGAAAGTAAAACTAAAAAAAAATTACGAATATCTCTTAGCGAGATGAACAAAACCGTAATGGAATTATTTAATAGGCAATATTTATATACTTTATTTTATAGTAATATCGTGTTTGTAGCTAATATGATAACAGCCAATATAATAATAAAAAAAAATTAATTTCTTTCACTTCTAGTACGCAACTAGTCTTTTCATTTTTCCGTTATCGATCGAGTTTTTCTTTTATACTCTTTGAAACAATTGAACCGTTATAGGTAACTGTTATAGAGGAAGTTGGAAACATTGTAACTATACTTCGTTACAAGGTTGGACAGGGAAAAGAGTTTGTTTATCAGGGAACATGGAATGAGAGAGGGAATTTTTCGTGTTTACATATTTGTGTAGCGTCCCCGAAACTACATTCGTTCATACACACGCTAAAACTTTTACCATCATTAATATCGCACATATGCAGATGTATTGCTATGTGCTGTAGGTACATCGTTTTAATATCGCAGGCCTGTCAACGCGATTTGAGACCATTTTTCGTATGCTGGCGAAACGAGTGAGATTCGCCGCGTTTTTAAGAATGAACCGCAATGGAAAGGGAGAGAGAGAGAGAGAGGGGGGGAGAGTTCAACGTGAAACACGAACGAGAAAAGGGAGGAGGCCGAGGGTCGGACTTACAGCTCGACCGTTATTACGTGCACAGTTTCTTATTCCCCGCGGGGCGATACGCGTTCCATTCCCATTCAACGAATTTCTTGTCGGATCGCGAGTGGGAACAGGATCGCTGTAGTTGTCGTTTCGGTACACGTAAAAGCGGTAGCACGGGGAGTCGTACACTGCGACGTGGCCCAACGGTGGCTTGGGATACGCCTTCGCGTGCATTTTCATGCACTTCGGAACGCGATATCATGGATAATATATAGTAATAATACTTCGCCATCTCAATAACCAGATATAAATTGGATCGCCTGCTTTAACATCGAAGTTCCTTACACGATTGATACTAGAAATATTTTTCATTTGATAGTATAATCTCGATAATCTACGTTTTCTTATTTTTAATGACAAGATTGTAATTGTAAAAAGTATAATAAGTGCGTGTCATTTTGATTTAAAATTCTTGTTCACTCACCATCACTATCTGTCTTGATTGTGACATCTGAAGCGAGAATATATGTACATAATATAAATATATTGATATTAATTTTTGATAAAACAATATTTACGATCAATAGTATCGACTTATAAAGTATACTGAAAAACTCTCGTTTTCATTAATTATTAAATAACCATAATTTCGAAATTAATTATGCATAATAAAAAATTAGTCAGTTATATTTCTAAATATGAAACTGTCGAATTAATTGTATAAAAAATATAGGATTGAGTTTTTCCCCGAAACGAAAATTTAGCTTTCTATTTTATTAATCTATTTTATCGATTGCAAATATTGTTTTACTAAAAAATATTCTATTCAAAAATGTTCTATCATTTGCAAGAATTTTTATAATGTATGTTCTCACCTTTGATGTCATAATTTGAGATAGTAGTGAATAAATAAGGAGTCTTTTTTTTTTAATTCATAATATTTCAAAATTTAAATTACCTATTTTTTCAATAAATAGCTTAAATAACAGTTTACAACTCGTAACACAACCAATTCTCATCATACAAAAATAGTTTGTCTTGAGAGAAGTTTACTTAAAAAAATGATATCAGAGTCCATTCTTTTTTTATTTTAACAAATATTTGTTCAAGTAGTTCTCATTTAATGATAGCTACAAATATGAAGATCAAAATGGTTAACTGGGATAATTTGCTGAGTTAATATACAGTGGATGGCGTCGAATGCCATGTTTAAATAGTATACTTTTAATAATAGCTCGACGATTTCGCGAGAGAAGATATGACCCTCCATTTCCTTCTGAGTTTCTCGCTGCCGCGTGTCCGTTTCGGGAAAATAGCGAATAATACGACTGAGCTAGATTCATACGAGGATAATGAAAATTTCTTGAATGGAGATACTTATCTACTTATTATAGCGATGACTTTGTACGGTTGAGCGCACGTGAATTTCCGCTATTTCGTCAGTAATCGCGTATACAATAAATGTTCTTCTCTAGCAAATTTGTCAATGTCATATCCCTTGCGTTAATATTACCTCTCCATCCGTCCGGTCTTCGTTTCATATCGCTGTTATATCCAGCAGAAACCATTTAGACAAACATCCTGCCTTTCCTTCCAGCTTCTCATTTGACGATAATAGAACGTATTAAATTTTTAATTCTATTATATAATAATAATAGTCATCCGTTGTTATTTTAAATGTAGTTATACCATTAAATAGTTCACAGCCTTGTACAATGTTATGTTATCTATAGCAATTTTGTTGAAGAAATGCAATTTCTTATTTAATAAAGTGTAAAGAGAATTGTTGAGAAAGATAATTGTTATTATCATGTCCTTTTCTGTTACGATAGCGTAGCCATTGGTAATCATAACAATAATATAAAATAAATACAAATCTCAGCGAAAGTTTTATATTGTCGCTAAAATAGCGAATATAAAGAAAATCTCGCGGGGATAAGTAGAAATAGTGAATGCAAACCGCAGAGAAGGCGCCGGAGAAAATATTTTAACTTGGCTTTTGGCTTCAGCATGATAGATCATATTCAAGCGTGGCAATCTACTTACGTCATAGCCAGAAAATTCTCCTTTTCCAGGCGGCCCCGGCGGACCTTGAGCACCCTTTTCACCGGGTATTCCATCTCGACCCGGTTCGCCCTTTTGACCTTGAGAACCTTCCGGTCCCGCTATTCCAATATCACCCTTGTCACCTTTAGCCCCGGATGGACCATGAAGTCCTCTTTCTCCTGGCGGTCCTGCCGCACCCTGAAATCATCAACATTAATTAATAATTCAATTAAGTATATCAAAGATATTGTCCATTTAACGAACTGGAGCACCAAAAGTGAGATATATATTCAAGAAAATGAAGTTTTGACAAAAGAATTAAAAGAGAATTTGAGAAATTCTATAATTCAAACTCTCTTAATGATTTATAAAATTTATTTTTTACAAAAATGAAAATGATAACAATTTTAATATTCGCCACAGTGTTAGATGTCTTTTGCTATATAAAGATGTCATGTTAAATAAAATTGGTCATAAGTAGCTTAAATATATGTCACTCTAAGTTATCGTCGAATCTTATTGCTAGAATCATGAGAACGAGAATCATTACCGTGAGACCCATTAAGCCCTGCTTGCCCTCCTGTCCGGGTACTCCTGGCTCACCCTTCGGCCCTTGTATCATCTTTGGCATCGTAAAGGAAGACATTAAGGCCGTGGCGTTGCAGGTGCAAGTGCCGGGGTCTCCCTTCTGACCAGGTGGTCCCTGTGGTATCTTCATTAGCCAATCCTTGAAATATCAATATATTTAACGTCGCTGTTGCATTTGATACCGCTCTACCAGAGTCAGTTACAATATTAGCGTTTACGACCAAATATTAGCAAACAATTAGTTGCAATAATGAATAAAGGGATACAATCAAGTTCCGACGGTGTCTAAAAGCAAATACGCATGTACACCAATAACAGCGTACCAATAACAGCGGAAGATAGTAAGCGCCGTGAAAGCGGCTTTGGTGTAATCAGTGTTACATGCGACAGGCGCCGGTTCTCTGGTGTCGATGCTAAATTGACTCACGCGAATAACAAGATAAATGAGTGATCCCGGATTCAGCCGTATTCAGGCCATCTTCAATATCGTACCTGCGCATGGATCTGCGATCGCGGTATAGTTAATATAACGAGAGATGTCTACACCTACAGGAAGCACAGACACTTTCCCCGAATAATGAAAACTTACACTGCGATACATATATATATATATATATATACACGAGATATTGACTAACTAAATAGTATAATACTCGAAATATAATATAATTTAATAAATTAGTTCACAAATAATTTCATGCATATATTTTTAATAAATTTTGAAATAAAATACAGCATAATTTTTACTTTCCAATTGTAGGTATATTGTATTATAAATAATTCGCTGTATTAAAATTCTTTCATGATTTATTGCAAACGAGGATACACATTTATGTGTACAATAATTACAAAATAAAGAGCCACAATAATAACTAGCATAAAATAAAATAATTATATTATTCTCATTAATTGGAATAACTTCTAAATATATTATTCTAATTATGAAAATAATTTCAAACCGATATTAATTCAGTTATTATTAATTATTCAACTATATTGATTTAGGCATTATTGGAGAAAGCACAAGAAATAATAATCGTTTTTAGGACGATTCATCTTGGAATTAGTCCGTAAAAAAAATTCGTTGATTGAATAATGCACTCACCTCGTCACGACCAGGCGGACCAGGAGGCCCTGGAGGACCTCTGACGCTCTCGCCTTTTTCCCCTTTGTCACCCTTTTCACCTTTCGGACCTTTATCTGAAAAAGAACGAATGCGCGCCGCCGTAAGTCCACGCAACTTCGTTGTTCTCTGTTTTGACACGCCATGGTGATTTATGCGCGCGAAAAGTAGATTAAAAAAGTTCGCTTCATATTTTATCATCGTTTCTTCGACGCGATATCTCCAAAGTCGACGTTGCGCATCGACGTCGACTATAGCGAAATTAATAAACGATTTTTAACGTGCTGTCCTATCTTTACTAAGCTAGGGATGTCGGATCAGATAAAAAAAAGAGAGACAGAAGATATTGATGTTTCGGTACATTGATTAATTGGAAAACTGTCAGACTAAAACTGTCCCAAAATACTGATACGATATATTGATCTTTTATAGATAGTTTAAATTTTTGAATATCCCCGCAATAAATTAGATATAAATGTCGCGAGCATAACAAGAGATAATAAAAAATATATTCGAAATCACGACAAAAATAATTTGATTTACATTTCTTATTATAAAAAGAATGTAAATCTTGTAACATCAGTAAATATACATCTAGTTTAATAAACGATGGAAAACGAAAATATCGATTTAGCAGTCTCAATCGTTTGATTGAAAAATATTAAAGCGAAATGATTTTAATTAATTTGTATTCAAAGAGAAAAAACAATTTGATTGACATTTCTTAAAAAGATAAAAGTATTGTAAAAACAGATAAATGTAAATTAGTAATGTAATATAGGAGAAAAATGGAAATATTAAATTAGCAGTATCAATCATTCAATTAAATCGGGACAAAATAATTTTAATTGATTTCGATTATTTTAAAAGACAAGAGAGATGGGTAATTTCATGAATTGATTATTTCTTTCACGTGTTCGATTACATATAGGTATGACATCATGTAGAAGTGACGTCTTTTAATTTGTTAGAATGAAATTTAATGATAAAGCGTTATATTTTATAAACAGTTAAAAAATTGTTGCTACTTGATGATATTACTCACAATCTGGATTCGGAGGCGGGGGCGTGATGAATGGCGGTGGGTTACTTTCCTCGCTTTTGTCTTCGTCCGCATCTCGACTGATCTGAAAATGTATCATAAGCAGTGCCGATAAGATCGGATTGCGTCATCTCGTTAACGATACATAATAGGACGATTATCAACGTCGTTGTCGTTTCGATTGCTAATTCAGAATACGATACAGGCGTGCGAGTAAACAGCGTGTACTTTTTATTTACAGTACTTAGATGCAACGTGAATAGCGAAGCAGCGGTCGGTTTATCGATCGCTTACCGATTAGTTATTTTAAATGCAAATTGCAGGTATATATTAAATCACACTGTTGAAGCGACACGCGCGGGAATGTGTGTCGACTGTTTTCGATTAGTTTTGCGAACAGACGACAAATATTTGCGAAGTGTTTATTTAAATATTGTTGAAATTCACACAATGTAACCAGATTTATTTTTTACCGTAGATGATATCAGGACAAGAATTAAAATCGATCTGGAATTGTATTATTATCTATACGAGACGGGATCTAAAAACTGAGACAATAAAAGAGCAGATCGTAATGTAAGCAATAAAATTTAATGCTATTAATATGTATACATTCATATATGAAACGAGGTAATCTTAGGAAATGTGTGATTATTGTTCTTACATTTCATCATATTCCAACTGTCATAACTGTCATCGCAAATTGTTAGTCAGTAGTATAAATGATCACATGCGCGCCAGTTGTGAACAATGCAATGTCCAAGTAAAGTTCCTCAGACGTGATACCGGACCTGTCTTGTACGTTAAAAGCGAATAATACATCAAGCAGTGACGGTGATTAATGAAGTTCCAAGCCAATCAGGCAGTATGGTTAGCACACATGACACCAGCCCTAAGTGTTTTCCGATAATTATCGGTAACGACGGCGCTTTATCGGATTGAGTCGACGTCCGGTTAGGATTTTTCGGTGATCGGAACGCGTTCTTATATTATTACAAAAACTATCATTTCCTATTTCCGTTATCTGAAATCTGTTAAATTTGCTCGAATATGCCAAAGATACCACTCATATATATCCCGATTTTATTCATATCTTCTTATTTGGGGAAATATTAATATATAAAATATTATTAAATATTCGAATATTCGATTGTGTTATTATTTTATGAGATTTTATAATATCTTACATGAGAGATAACATTTATATGACCGTGAAAAAGTGATTTCTTTTAAAATTAAATTTATTATTATTTGCGCTCTTTCAAGCCATACAACTTTTACCTGAACATACTTTTGATTCGATTTTACTCAGCAAAGTTGTAAGAGGTGATCAGTTAGGTGAAACATCCTGTATATGTATACATTTCGTGTATGTATGTTATAGATATATAAAAATCTATAACACATCACAATATGTAATCCTAAAGCAGAAAAGCATGATATTTATTTCTTTTTGCTGGCGCGCGCGTAAAAAAAGAATGCGTTATATTTTATTTTAAAAAATGGTAACAACTCGTGATGTAATTCATTTTTCAAAGGCTTGATTCAATCATTTTAAATGGAGTTATTCGTTACCACTCGTACAGTATGACCTGTACAAGCCTTAACAATTTAATATTTCCAAATTAATATCATATTTATCAGAAACTAATATTGTTTTCTGTTGTACTATTCGATATTTTTTAAAAACAATTCGACAAAAGGAAACTTCGTAGCAGATCGTATTTCTCGTCACAATAAAGATTTTGATTTTTTTATTGAGAATTTTATAAAATTTTTTTAACGTACGTTTTTAGTTACATTGCGTATTCAAACACTACAAACACGTACACGCGCGAACAAAAAATACATTTGTTGCATCTGTCGCGCTATACTTCAATAACGCACAGTATCGAAAACAAAAGGAACAGTCTCAGTATCTATCGTATGTAAGTTGGATTTGTTATATATACGTTTCGTTTATTTCACGCTACGATAAATTTATAATTTCGCATTTAAATTAGTGCCATTTGTTATTAAGGGCATAACAATTATTTACAAATACAATGCATTCGTATAATGAGAATTTAGAAAATAAAATGACAATAACTCGTAAATAAACGTTATAATACGTTACAATGAAGACCTGCAGAACGCGATTGTGTTATTATATATACCGTAACATTTGCACAAAAGATACCTCCAGGGCTGTTAATCGATCGTTATTATCTCACTTTTGCATTCATCCGACTTTGTCAGAATTTATAGCGTACATAATAATAATAATCCGCAATTCTTACGTGCTATTTCGATATCCGCCCGAATACGTGAGATTTACGGCGCGCGCTCGGTGTAGTTTGAATAATTATATGTATTTCGACGTGCACGGGGGTTACATCGCGAACCGACGAAAACGTGCGTATTGGGAATACGGGCGGGGTTTTCAGTTTCGGCGAGAGAGAAGTTTCAGTCGCTGCGCGATGGCTACGCTCGTCATTCCCCCCCCCCCCCCCCCCCCCATATATACTCACGATCCTCACGATGATGGTAAAATTACGCGGGCGTGCACGCGTCCACACGTACACGATTCGGTTTCCATAACATCTGCCGCACGATCGCAGGAACACGTAGCATCTCGACGACACGTCGCTCCCGCGCGAATGCTCCGGGCGTTATCCTCAAAATCGTTCACCCGGTACATACTCTGATCAGCTCTCCCATGCACGATCGCGTCTTTGCATCCCGCCACCGTACATTTCCGGGGCTTTCCGCGAGAGTGGGATTTCACGGGTGAAATAAATTCCGCTCTTCTCCGCGAGCTAAGAAAAGCTCCCCCGTGCGCGAGCGACTCCGATGCGGTTGAACTTCGACTGAATTTCCGGGCGCGAGCGGGAAGATTCCGCGATGGATTCGGGATGATGCGGGATTGCTATCATAAGAATACGCATTTACCATTATTTGTTCGATGTATCCCGTGAACTTCTGCAGTCGGACCGGATAAACGTCGGATCGACTCACGGGGAGAGTTGATCGTTAGATGTTATCTACAATATTGAACATTGCTTCCTGCTCGGTTACTAACAATAAGCAGTGAAATAAGTAGTATTTCTTGAAACTACATTTGTACCATTAAACGGGCGATTTTTCAACGGGTTTTTTTTTTAATTCCAAGTATCATCAGCGTTTTTCAATCTTTTATTTCTCGATATATTTGAGGATATACGTATATTAAGGATATATTTCCTACCTATGAATGAAGGAACATCAAATACAAAAGTTCGTTATTGTTATTTGTTGCAAAAATATCGCACAAATTCATGCTATATGCAGTAAACACTAACAATAAACGATATTTGTACTTCGTTCTTATTTTAAGACTGTCTTAAGTAATGTCTTAAGATGCAAATATATAGTATAGTTGATCGATGAAATCAAAAAAAGAAACAAACGGTTTACAAACACAAATATGAATATCAAACGTTCGCATTCGCTGTTCATTCAGTGTTTGCTCGCTAAGTGCATATCTAGTTTTACACAGTTTGTTAACAAAATAAAAAAATAATGACAAAATTATAGATTTCTTTATATTGTACATATATTTAAAAGTAATACGAAAAGTTTAGTGGCAACTTAGAATCTGAATAAAAAATTATTTCATGAAAAAGTAGATATAAGTATCTATGTATATTAAGAAAAAAAATAATTAAGGTAAAATGAGAATATTTTCATATAAACTATAAAATTGCTAAATATAAATGCTGATCTTATTATATTGTTTCATATGTACGTGTGTATATGTATAAGATCCATTTTTAATATAAAAAGTATAATTTCGAGATTATATAGGTACACCTAATATATCTTTAATAACGAAAAATTTTGAAGCACATACATATTTTAGTACTCGTGAATTAAAAATTCCATGTAAATAATTTACGCTTTCCACTAAGCGTAAAAGGAACTAACTAAAATATAAGCACGACAAAACGTGATACGCATTCGTGGTTCGTAGGAATGCGATATAATACTTATGATAGATATAATACCTCC